TGTTTTCGCCTGTTGTAACATTGATTCGGAGTTCGGGTTCGGAGAAGTTCCCCCAATAACGAAAGAAATCAACAAAACCAAGATGCTTCAGAAATTTGAAGTCAATTACAAATTCAATAAAACTGCACGGATGTCTTCCGGAATTTTTGAAAATTTCTAACAGCATTTGATAGGAAAATGGCTGTAAAGAATAGAAGTATGATTTTCTTTATTGAACAGTGTGGAGTCCACCGAAAGGACTTCAAGCTTACCAATGTGCAGCTAGAATTTTTGCCTCCAAACACCACCACTGTCTTACAGCCCATGGATCAAGGCATTATAAGAGCAATAAGGCAGAGATACAGAAGATATTTTGTTGTGAAGCTTGTAAACAATGTGGAGCTGGGCAAACATTTTCATCACTTGGATGCAATTTACATGTTCGCATCTGCCTGGGATAAAATCACTGCCCAGACTATTAGAAATTGCTTTGCAAAAGCAGAATTACCAGAAGATACCATAGATAATGAATATGAATTGGAGTGTGCCTCGTGGGAAGATGGTCGGGAGCAACTGAAAATTCCATCAGATTTCACATTTGAAAGTTATGTGAATGAAGACAGTCACTGTGCCTCATGTGAAATAAGAGATGTCATGCAGATATGTGAAGATATTGCAACAAAAGGACAAGAAGAAGACAATAATGATGATGATGAACTAGAAGAGACCCACCCACATCTGCTGAAATTTCAGATTATTTAGGTAAGTGTACTGTCTACTTGTCAAGCCTAACAAGCATTCCCGATAGTGTTAGGAGGAGAATTCATGTTTTGCAGCAGTTTTCTGTTAAGTGTAAATGAAACAACGTAAACAAACGACATTGAACAATTTTTTCAAGAGAGTATAATTTTCCAAGAATGTAAAAAATGTTTAATACACAATAAGAAAACCCAAAACCTGTATTTTTTATGACCCTTTTAAAAAGATTTCCCTTTTAATAAATTCAAATCTTGAAGTCCCAACAGTATTTTATTAAGAAGGTTCTACTGTACTTGCAAATGTAACACGCTCTTCCTTCTATTTTAATCAAATTTTAAGAAGTGAAAAATTGCATGAGTATTGCTAATAATATTGGGGTTACAATTATTTTATATCAATGTTGTCTTTGTGGTTGTTGTTGTTGTTATTATTATTATTATTATTATTATTATTATTATTATTACTACTACTACTACTACTACTACTACTACTACTACCACCACTACCACTACCACTACCACTACTACTACTATTATTGTTATTCCTTTAATTCATGACTAGAGATGTTATGGGGCGGTTGATTATAAAGTCTTACTTCGGATTACAACCAGCTTCCTAAGGAACAGTTCTAGGGACTATTGGTCCCTCTGCAACACTTTGCAAAACAACAGAGGAAAATGTGGGCTGTTCCAAACAAAGCAATGTCTTGCGCTGCCCAATCTTTTGAATGACCTGGGAGTTTAGTCAAGTGCTTACACTAATTTTGCAAAGAAATTCCAAAGCTCCAATAACTATCAGGACAACCTGTGCTTTTACGCCCCACATTCGGCAGATCAAGATTTCTGAACTTTGTATATAAGACATTTCGCTGCCTCCTTGGTTGCGACATTTTGATACCATAACAGAGGAACATCTACAAGTACACACGATTTTTTTTCCAAATCCCGGATAAAATGTCCAATTTGTTTGCTGCTATCGTGCAATCAGTTTGAATTTGTTGGTCACACAATATTGTAGACAGTCCAACATTCATCACCAGTTTTGGTGAGTGTTCGTACCACATGAAGCATGTGTTTAGAACTCCGAAGGCGGTACAGATCTGTTAGTTGAGGACATCCTCTCAGGTCTTTTCAAGTATTCGGTCTTCGCTAGAATCAGACAAGCTGAGATGATATGATAAATGGTTTCTATTTGTTCCTGTCAAATGCAGCATTTATTATCTTGGGAAATTTTGAGAACCACTTTATCATAATGTCGTGGTCTCAACACCTGATCCTAAACAGCTATTAAAACTGCTTCCGATTCTGGCTTCATTCTTCCCCTTTTAAGCCACATGATTAATCTTTATTGATCAGTACCTTGTCCAATCTTTTTAGATATTGTACATGGAGTGGTTTGTCTCTCCACTATTTCTTTAACATTTTTTGTGTCTCATTTCATGTTAAGTAACACCAGAAGTTCAGTGTCTGTGTTATTCTGCATGTCTTGCATATCTTGTTCACAATGCTTCTTGTTACACTTGAAATGCCTCTGCTACCCATTCTTCGGTTAATTTCATGACCTGCCTCTTAAGTGGGTCAAGATCAATGTGTCAAATTGAGATGTTCTCACATTCTTGAATGACCAGATGCAAGTTTTACCTGACTCAAGATCTTGAATCAGTGTTCATATTAACTAAAATGTTCTCTGACGTCAATTTGTCTCTCTTTAAATTGCTATTTGTACACTTGTCAAAACCAAACTTCATGCACACGTCATTGCTAAAATCATTTGTGACAGACAGCATTTGGGAGAGAATAGCTTCATTCTTAGCAAATACTTTAAGATCATCCATGTAAAACAAATGTGATACTGGTCTTTCATCACATGAGCTTGTAACCAAAGTATGTGTGCTACAAATGTCTAGATAGTGGGATCAAACTAATGCAAACCAGCAGAGAGGATAGCGAATCTCCTTGGAAAATTCCCCTATTAATCTGAATATTTGTTTCTACTACTTCCTTTCTGGTGAGTATTAGTAACCTGGTACTCCACGACTTCACACTAGCCTTGCAAAACTCATTATGCCTAGGATGTAATCAACAGACTTTCAGGGTCTTCAAGATCCAGTTGTGTGTACAGTGTCTAAGACCTTCTGGTAGTCAATCCAACCCATGCTTAAATTACATTTTCGTTTCCTTACATCGTTCAAGATGATTTTATTTAGTAGCAAGATTTCCTTACAGCCATAGGAATTTTTATGACATCCTTTCTGTTCAACTGGCCACAGATGGTTCTTCTCTAGGTGTCTGTATATTTTGTTAGCTATGGCTGCACTTTGTACAATACTGGGAGACAAGTGATTGGCCTGTAGTTCTTCACCAAAAACTATATCCCGCTTTGGGTAGCAAATAAGTGATGCCACGAGTGAGAAATTCTGGAAATTCCTTTGGGTTTCCTAAAAAAATGTTATTATTAATTATTATTTATTATTATCAGGTATCATCATCATTATTATAATTATTAGATGTTTATCCAATAAGTTCTTGGGTGTAATTTACGACAGTGAAATTAAATTTAATAAACACATTTATATGAACCTCAATATTTCATTAGAACAGCTTGGTTTAATTAAAAGAACATATAAAGAAATCCATAGTGGTCTAGCATTACAAAATTTACATTTTTTCCAAGTCACATTTGTTGTTTGTCACTAAAATTTGGTCATCACACTTGCACAAAGATTAAGTCTTCCTGATCCTTTCCTTAATCATAATTATGTACACATTTCTTTAAAATTTAAAATTCCTGCCATTAATTCTTGGAGGATTTATTTTAATGTTATTATTTTTCTATACAAATTAATACATGGCTCAATAGATAGCCCAGAACTAATGTTTCAAGTTTCATCGAGATCAATAAAGATATTTTTTTACATTTGTTTCAAAACACCAAATCACTAACCACAAACATATATTTAACAATATGATCACAAGAATGCCCAATTTAGTTAAGACTTTTGATACTGATGTATTAGATCTGGGTATAAAGAACATCAATGATTATACTAAATCCTCTATCTTCATGTTTTCATGATGTTCATTATCTATCACTTACATACCATCAATAATTATAATTGTGATATCTTGTGATAATAGATACGTTGATTCATTTGAGACCTTGTGATAATTGTGAAATTTTGGTAAAAGGGCCATATTTAGGGCCAAAAAGGCCAAGGTCTTCTTTATGTAAATTTGATGACTATATCTTGCTGCTTGCAAATTGTCAATGGAATCTGAAGAGGTGAGCATAAGTGCCAGTGAAACATTGTAATGAACAATCAAAGCCAATAACACCTGGACTTTAGTTTCTCTGCTTACGTTCAAAGACCCCTATTAACATTCCTCACATCTTTTATTTATGTTATCGTTATTATTCCTTCCATTTTTCATAATAGAGTTATTGGCACAGAGATTGTAAAGTGGTGCTCCATGCAATGATTCTAAAAAGTATCTAAAGAATAGACATTTTTTCTTCAATTAATTTCGTTTGTTTTGAAGTTATTTGAAAGGAAGTGATGTGGAGTGGAGAAATGTGTTAAAGAATATGTTAAAGGACAATATTTAGAATTTCTTCATCAAATTTTAATTGTGATCATAATGTTTGCCAACAACCATTAGCTGAAAGCCAACTCTCAATAAATCTATCATCCTAACAGAAAACTATTAGCACTGACAAATAAGCTACAGTTTTGATTTGTGAGTAAATAACTAAATTCCTCCCTCTCTTAGCTTCTAAAGCAAAATGTAAGCTGCAGAAAATCAGAGCAAATTGTACAGTTAACATAACAGCATTGTATCTGAAATGCAGCATTTCTGTTTGGGATCTGATAACACTGAAGAAATATGTGTTCAATAAATCTCCAATGGTTTACAAGCAGAAAGATACACACTGATCAGTTGGGCGAAAGGTGTTAGAAAAGGGAATATTAAAATGATGAGCAAGAATAATACAAAGATAAGAGACAATCATGTGGTATTAAAATAATTAATTTTCGAACTGCCTTTATTAAAGATGGAGCAAACGTATGTATAACCAAATTTCAGGCTCTCCACTTTAAGTTTACCTAAGAAAACATCAAAGGGCATACACTAATACAGGTATAACAAATATAAAGCAGGAGAAGAAATAACAGTTAAAAAAACTGTATTGTTACTTCTAACAGTTGTTAACCTCGCATATTATTATTTCAGGATGATAAACAGCAAATAAAGTTCACTTACTTTTCCTGATCTTCATGGGCAACTGACAAATGAAAACTTTCTTCTAGAGCCATGACGCCAGTGAAAAGTTGCAGTTCCAAAGATTGCTGGTTATTATTATCTTCCAAACACTGAAGAAGTGCACATAAGCAATCAGTAGCAGCTTCATGGACACCAGGTGTACTCTGCAATTAAGATACAGATTTCTTTTATGAAATATTATCCTTTAATCCAAATTTTTCAAATTAATTTTTGTTTATACTATTACACATACTCTTTATTACATGGTCTATAAAAATTAAATCTTACTTTTAAATATTTATTAATAGTGCAATGTAATGCAATGTAAAACTTAATTACCTGATGATGACTCATGATTAAAGCATTCTCTGAGTTTACTGTAGTCTTAATTATCTTAACATTTATGATACCATTAATTAAATAAGTAAAATAAATATACAAGGTAAACCATGAGAATATCCTTGATGTTTGCAATATTGTCTGGGCAGATCACAATCATTAATTAATAATTTCTGTGTAACAAATGTTAGGAATTCTTATTCCTAATACATGTTGTCAAAGATATAAAAACAGATTTTGGATCACAGGATTTGTACTACCTCGCATATAGATTTGTGTAATATTACATAGTAGTACTGCATTTCTAAAGTCATTGTGGTGTATTCTTTTAGTCATGAACTGCAAGATCGAATATTCTACTTGTTTTATTTTCATTGCAACCTTTCTTCACTTAGTATGTAAAATGCTTCCCTTTCAGAAAAAGGTTGTTGCATAGAGGAAGCAACTGCAATTTCCAGAATTGCAAATAAGTTTTTTAATATGATTTTGACACCGAATGTAGGATACCTATGTGTAATTTTATATTGGAAAGTTCACACCTTACTGCAAATAAACTGGGTAGAAATGTATATATCCATGCTCAATGACACAGACATGGTAAGATATGAAAGAAAAAATGTAATAAATGCAAACAAAAATGATAGAGGTCAAATTAATAAAAAGTAGTATTTTAATACCATGAAATTTGTAATGATACACATTATTAATGAAATGCAAAATAAATATACTGAGCCTTGCATTTAATGGTTTCTGGAATTCAGTAAATTACCACACATATTGACGAGTGTAAATTCATCATTCCAACAGATGGGTTCACAGTCACTAACTCCCCCAGAACACACACTGTAAGGGTAGCACGTATCTGTGAGACACTGACTTGGTGAATTCTAACCTCCCAATTGCCTTTCAATTCTACATCTGCACTATCAATGAGCACAACGATCAAACTGGATGACTGATTGATTATTAGTCATTCTGGGAGTGATAACTGCTATGGTCATTAGTCCCGTAAGTGAAATGCATGTTTTTGCTCGGGAGGTAGCGGTGATCGTTCCCCGCCGGATGGCGAGATCCATTGCCAACCTACAGTCGACTAGCGCGGCAACCAGGTCGGTGTTTCTCAGCCTACACAACATAGGAAGTCGATTGATTGATCGTTACTGATTCCAGGTGCGTCAACTTCTAAGGTCTTTAATCCCGTAAGTGCGTGTTTTGTTTCTCATGAAGTGGCGGCGATCTTCCCTCGCTGGATGGCGAGATCCGGCACCAACCTATCGTCGGCTAGCGGGGTTTTACCCCAACCAGGTATCCCACCAGCACGGCACCCCCTAGCCGAGACAAGCTCTAAGCTCCCAACCAGTCTCCGACATGTGTGGAGTCTGTGTGTGTAAGGGATGAGGATAGGAGAAGGAATGGGAAGGAGAGATCGCGCGCGATTCGTGGCCTGTTTCTTATGGTACTGCTCTGGTATTGATCGGAGAAACTACGGAAAACTACCCAACAGATCAGCCGGCCGATAGAATTCTTCTCCAGACAGCGACAGAACCCGACCTAGCTATCTGGCCAGAGTCGAAACTCCTGCCGCCGTCGGAACTCGATCCCCAGACCTGACGGCCAAAGGTAATGCAGTGACCTTAGGCATGGGCAAAGTGAGCACTGGACGACAAATTTTCTTTAATCCAATAGTTGTTTATTCGAAAAATTATTTATTGACTAGAATTACAATCGTCCGTGTTCACTCAACATGAGCACTTGCACTCCGACAGCTGGCCAGCGAAGAACGATATCGTGAATTTGTTTAACAAAATTATATAAATTCAATTTTTTAGTAAAGTAAAATCTGTCTAAAACAGAACCTATAAAAACCGGAAACCTGCCTTAACAGGGAATTTCCTCGGCCCTTCAAGCTAAATGGCATTTTTCAAAACATAAAACGGAATCTCTGCAAATTTAATGCAATTGATAGATACTGCTGCCCATTTGTTAAGGAATTGAGTACTGCTCCAGCATTCTCCTGGCATTGACAGGAGAAACCACTGAAAACAGGCGATCAGAGCAGGCGGCCGTTAGAATCCTCCTCCAAACAGTGACTGAATTTAACATAGCTATTTAGCTAGTGTCGAAAATCCTTCCACCGTCAGGACTTGAACCTAGGTCCGCCCAGTCAGAGACACTGTAGTGACATCAGTTGATAAAATAATTAAAGATGTTGTCATTGCCAACAATGTTGTTGTTGTTGGCAATGACAACATCTTTAATTATTTTAAAAATGCCAAAGATATCCTACCACAACACCTATATCAGTTGATAAGCCACCTTTCCCGGTGCCAAGTAAGATAATGTTGAGCGTAGTAAGATGACATCAAAACAATTTTCAGTTGCATGTAAATTGAGGGTGAAAAACGAAAACCTCCATAACTAGAGCCGCTATTTGATTCCCTCATTCTACAAAATGATCATACAAAATAAAATCTAGAAATTTGGAGTGTGTTTGTGGAGTGGTGTGGATGTGGAGTGTGCATTAAGAGATAATCAAAGTTCAATAGAGCTAAAAATATCCATTTGTCTTAGATCGCACAGTAATGCTGCCTTGATAAATTCATTTTGAGAATTATTTGAATCTTTTGCATGTACTTCTACAGATATTTTTCTGCTGCACATGACTGTAGTTGCTTTTTATTATTCTCATTTTTACCTCACATGGTTGAAGCAAGTATTGTGTTCCAGCAGTGATAAGGGGAGGCAGTTCAAGGATTATTTTCAGGGGAATAGGTAAATGGATTGAAAGGGGCCTGGAAGAGATGTGAGTGGGGACGGGTCTTAGACAGAACACTGCCTAGGTTGTGAAAGGATGTGTTTTACAAGCTGCCTACCAAGTGCATGTTTTCTGACGGGTTATGCTGGCAGGTAAGTTTTATCTGGCAGAAAGTTTACCTCAAATATTTTAACATTTGTGCCTCTCAGATGCGGTTTCAATTGGTTGTTGGTATGCCTAATTTCTTTGCAGTGTTGATTTGTTGCATCAGTAATGCAGCGTCGAGACAGTAATGTTGGTGTTTTGGTCAGCACATTGATCAGGTGTAAAATGACCATACACATTTATGTTGATCTGCCCTCCTACAGTGACAGTACCCTTTTGGTGAGAGTTGTTGTGTGGGTGTCCAACTCACTGGTCACATAGGCAAATCTCCATGTTTAAACACACTTATGACAGAGAAATTGGATGGGAGCCTCCGGTTATCCGATAAAATTAGTATATTTTTGGTGGGCTCAGTGGGAATGTGCTTGTTGACTGGCGGGGCAGATTGTGCAGCTCTATGTAAATTTGTATCGTTGCACTTGCTAGCCTGTTTGTGTTGGTTTGTGGATAGGCATGTCCATGACAGAGATGGGGCAGCGAGGATTGAAATTCATTGTCATAATCTAATACAGATATTTTTTTTTAGTCACAATTGGTAGTGATAAGAGTTCTTGCTTTTGCGGTTGGAAGGTTCTGCTGCATTGTCTATTTCTGTTCAACTGTGTCTTGAATGATTTCCTTGAGCCTTCAGATATGTTGTGTTTAAGTGTGTGAAAGCTTTTAGAAAGTCGGCTTTGAGAGAATACTGAGTAGAAAGTGTAGAGCAAATGGTAGCTATGTCATGAATGCATATCAAAATGCATGGTAAGTATGAAAGGTATGAAATGGTAAGTATTACCTAAACTAATATCTTTTAAATTAAGTGTACCAAATTACTTAATTGAAGATACACATTAGTTCAAAAAAATAAGTTATGAGATTCTAATTAGTAATTAAATGTGATTGATTAATTGTGAAAAGAGTTTATCATGTTTAACGTGATATATCTAAGATGCAAACTAATAAATATTATTAGATGCATATGATTGTCACCACCCACTCACCTTTTTTGAACACAATTACACTTGGGAAAATGTTCCCCGACAGTAAAGAAATCCAAGTTGAGACCATGTTACTGAGTAACAAATGTATTTTAATAATTAAATTTGTTCAAAGAATTGATCATCCTGACCGAGATTCAAACCCAGGTCTCCTCTTTTAGCTGTCCCGCTATTATTATACTTATCATGTTGATACATAACTTTTAACATTAATTAGTAGTTTGGTAATCAATGAAGATAAGGTTACATTAAGATATAATTGAGAAAGTTTCTGTTAATCGTTCTCAGATCTTTGATGACATGATGATAATTTAGTAGAACACAAAAAGGCATGGAAAAAGCATGACAGCAACTGATGGAAGGAGGTTAAGGAATGGGTTTGGAGATAAATAAAGAGAAATCAAAATATATGAGAAAAAGAAGTAAGAACCAAAATATATGAAGCTAGGAAACAAAAATATTGAATGGGTGAATGCCTTCAAATACTTAGCTTCTTTAATCACAGAAAACAACGTCATAGAGCAGGACATTAAGAAGAAAATAGCAGCAGGTGGTAGACGTTATGGAAGTCTCTATCAAATCTTTAAAACCCAAAGAATATAAAGGATTTTTAAGCTGAAATTATATAAGACCATCATTATGCCAATGGTATTGTATGATAGTGAAACAAGGACTCTGACAAAGAAAACAGCTAACATACTCACTGTAAGGGAGAAAATAAATCTTCAGAATGAAATCGGGAGATGTCGAACTAATGCAGAATTGGACAAACCATTTGATACACCCGAAATAGTTCACACATGTATTAAGGTGAAACGAATGGATTGGTTTGGTCACCAAATTCGAATGAATAAAGAGAGAGCCATTAGAAAGGTATACTTAGGGAGCATGGCCGTAGGAGAGGAAGAGGTACGTGTATATTAAGATGGAATGATGAGGTGGAGGAAGATTCGAAAAACCTAGGTGTTAAATGATGGCGAAGAAATGCAGAAGAGAAGAAATTGAGCTGTTATAATTCAAGAAGCCAAGGCTAAACTAGGCAGGAGAGCATATATTATTAGATGTATATGATTGTCACCACCCAGTCACCTTTTTTGGACACAATTACGCTCGGAAGTATGCTCCTGAACAGTAAAGAATCCAAGTTGAGACCATGTAACTGAGTAACAAATATATTTTAATAATTAAATTTGTTCAAAGAATTGGTCTCCCTGACTGAGATTCAAACCCAAGTCTCCTCGTTTACACCCAATTGCTAACCACAAAGCTATCTAGCTATTATTAGACTGCTATACTTTACCTATTGAAAGGCAACTTTTAATATTAATTAGTAGGTTGGTAGTCAATCAATGCATTATAATAGAATCAAGAAAGTGTCTGTTATGGTAATTTGTGTCAGATCCTCGATGGTGTACAAAACTTGAATGGAGAAAAAACCCATGACAACTGTGCCTGCCTATTTATTAACCTAAAAAAAATTGTTCAATTACACTGTTTTTATCTCCTGACAGCAGATTTTTTCCCTCCCCATACCATCCACTCACATTCCTGAGATTTTCAATGGAGGCACCTTTTGGTGTAAATTCCATGGGTCAATCGGTCTGAAATTAAGTGTAAAGACTTTGAAATAACTAAAGGTCTACAAACAAGCCACATTTTATCATATAATTTACTCAATATTTGTAAAAGATTACCTATTAAATGATAATTTTAAACAGATGTAATTATCAAATATACTTGGAACATAAGACCATTATTAACACATGTAAAAAAATCTTTTGCATAAAAAAGAACTTCTAGAATTACTGATCTCTCTTTGTATCTTCAGCAATTTTCATCACTTCTAAGATGGATCAAATTCAAATACATATACAACAGAACAGTATGTTAACTCAGTAATTAAAAGTTGGATACCATCAATTCTCTAATAAAATAACCAACAGTAAAATAAAAAATTAAACCTAAGTTCAATAATTCTTATAACTTTCTTTCTGATATCTGAGACAGATGTAAATACACAGAGAACTTGAAAAATTCTTAACCTTTAACTGCTGTCATGGGTCTGTCAGACCCAAATATATCATTCTACTTCCCCTAACACCATGATTTTTTGGGTCTAATTCTTGCTTTTCTCAGAAGTTGAATTTTTGTTGTGACTTGTGGAATAGGTATTCAACTTGTAATATTCATTCTGAGTTTTAGTGGTTTCATGAGTCTGAGAGACCCCAGGAGAGCAGTTACGTAAGTTTTCCATTAATTGCACTGTTATCAAAAATTTGTTTTGTTGGGTTTCATTGTAGAGAATCGTTGATAGTTGTTGACTGAACACTGGCAATATACCTAGAAGACTTAGTGTTAGCAATGAGAGGTTATGTAAGTTTATAAATTCAATATTTGATGAAGATAATTATTCAGATATTGAAGTATACAAATTTTTTCCAAAAACACGTGTCTAAATAGGTGCAATTTCATTTTATGATTATTTGTGTTCTAAAATTTAATTGATGTGCTTTTTTCTCATGGCAATACTATTATTGTATATATGATTTTACTAACTGGCCGTTTTTACGTGTATTTTAGAGGATGGATAAAATCACTTTCCTTGATTTATCTTATGCATCTTGGAACATGTAGAATTAATTGTAAATGAGTAAATATAAGCATTTATTTCATGCATCTATTCATTTCTTAATATATCTAGAAAATATTTATAATATTATTTTGGGGTCTGTCAGACCCACAACAGTGGTTACATCACAAAAATTGCTGACAGTGTTAAGGGTTAAAATAGATTCCACAGAGTAATTTTTTAACTCTAGATCTAATGTTAAGACATCTCTACATGCACCTCGGTGGACAAGAGGATAGCTTACTAGCCTCTGAACCCCCAGTGGAATGAATCTGATGCCAGTTGAGGCGTGTGTATTTTCAAAGAGCGGAAAATCCACGGAAGCCATATCATGCTTGTGGCATGTAAAAGAACCTTGGCAGGTGCTCGGCAAAATTAAATCTCTCTGGCAATTTCCTATTCTAACAAGATCTCACATTATTCCAACCACATAGGTTGGATATAGATAAATAAAACAGACTTCTAGTGGAGAAAGTGAGAGTCAAAACCCAAGCACATCATGGATAGCTTCTGAAAGGGGCAAGTCCTATCAACGGCGTCCCAGTCTTGCGACCATAGGTTAAGGGGTACGTGTGGTTAGCACATAGACATCCCTATGCTGTTTCTGGACTTCTCAACCTGAGAAGTGAGCTTTCTCATTGTTGCAGAACAACAGATACTGGGACATCTACGAATCCAAATACACACAGTTAATTCAAATTTGAGAACCAATGTCCAAATAAAGTTGACAAATTATTCACGTTCAGTGAATTGTGGTGAAGTCAATACTTTATGTCAAATTGTTGCATTGCATAACAACTATCAAAAGAAAGTTAATTTCTCACATTAGAAATGTAGGTAACTGCTTATACACACATTTGACCACAAATTCTTAATAATTATGAAGAAGAATTCATAATTGCGCTTAGCCAATACTGACAATTTTTCATAAGAGTTCCCAGAAGAATTGCACATTGCTAAATTAGAAGAGAATTAGAAAATCCTGTTTATCTGTTTACATGCAATATTTTCATGAATAAAACTTGCATTGAAACAAACTAAACAAGATACATGCCGCAGACATGCTCTTTGATGTCAAAATGTAGCTACCAAAGGAGAAAGAATTGTATTGTTTACTCATACACACATCAGGGTATGGAATGGAACAGATACCTTGGTATAAGGAAATACGCTTATGAGAAAAAGAAACTTCAGCATGACAAGATTAAACAAAAGCAGCCTCTGGAGCCAACTCACAACAATGCTTGCCAACACTGTATCAAACACATGATCTTCAAGTGCCAAGTTTACAGTGTATGATGTGGTAAAAAGCCAGGCCATTGGATACAAGTAGGAGGAACCAATAACAACACAAGAAGTTAATGGCAGTGCCTCCTGACTGTACCATTTTCTATTAAACCTAAATGATGAAATACAAGAAGTTACATGGTACTCCGATACATGTTGGCCTAAAAATAATTTTGTTGCAGAGGTTTCTCCACATAACTAGTTGAAGGCAACTTTGAAACAAATTTACCACAAATTTTTAGTAAGTGGTCACAGACGCAAGGAGTGCAACATGGGGTGTGTCAACAAGGGCCAAATAACACGAAAAGCAACCAGCTAAACTACTGGATTCAGTTAGTGAGAAATTCCAAGCATGAAAACCCTTATCATATGATTGCTATAATAGAGATATTTTTTATAATTTGATCTTCATAAACAAAATATTACTGATTACGATGATATGCGCATTCTTCAGCAAGATATTGAAGAACTTAGCAGTTGGTGTTTGAGGATTAGGCTAAAACTGAACGTTGATAAATGTGTGGTGATGTCTCTCTCGCTCTCCTCAACGACAACCGGCAGCTTATTATCTTAGTGGACACCAACTCGAGGAAGTCGAATCTGTTAAAGACTTGGGCGTCATTATCGACAATAAATTAAAAGTTCCTCGAATCATGTGGACCCAAGATGAAATCCAAAGCTCCAAAGACGCTGGATTTATACTCAGAGAGCTGGAAGGAATTTAACAATTCTATACGTGTAATATACCTATATTTACTTTGTCCGTCCAATAATGGAATAATTGCTCAACACAATCTGCGTCCACCTTACACGACATTTCGTGTGGATCGAATCGAAAAGTATTCAAAAGAAGTTCGTGGTAAATACGTCAAAGTACTATAATGGCATCAGAGTCATGACATTGAGCACCGGCATGATCTATGATCAATTTGAAATACACTCACTTTCAAGCGAGACAAATTGCCAGATCTTATATTATTTTTTTAAGATCACTAATTGCCAAAATTGAATGCCAAGCAATATTTAGAACAATTGAATTTGTCTATGTAAAACCTGCTTGAGATCGTATAGAATTACTGAATTTCAATTAACACTACTAAAAATTATGTATATTACGATCCGCAAAATAGAATAGCGAAACTAGTAAAGGAATATTGTTCCAGCATAAACTTCTTTTGGGGATCCACAACATCATTCTCCGATACAAGATAAAGAAATTATACTCAACAGATGTGTTATGTTTAAAATATTTATTACCGAAGATTGTAAAACACAACGTTATGATGTGTACTACTTACGGTTATAATCTCAATTTGTTAATTTAATTATATGCATCGATGGTTGTATTTAAAATTGTAAGTTGTATTGGATGTGATTTGTGCAGTGTGGTATATAAATTGTTACCTATATGTACAATGCGATTGGCGTTGAATAAGTAAAATAAAAATAAGGCTAAAAAAAGAAATGCGACAAATATGTAATTAAAAAGGATAGAAATAATGGAGACAAATTGGTGGAAACAATACAATGCAGCAGATTTTGTATGGGATGGGAAGGGGAACCAAATGTCTTTTAAACATTTGTTAATTGATACAGTGAAATTTCAAATTGAATTTCACTCATCCAAGACCCTCGAATTTCTTCCTTCACAAAATATCCAAATTAATCAACAACCCAGATATTCAAATTGAGAAAAAAGGAATATATAATTACTGTTGCCATCGATTTGCATGATATTTTCCTTTAATCACCCCCTGGGTTTTAATGAAATTTTGTAGGGTGGGGTGAAGGGGGGGGGGGGGTGGGCTCAATGGCTATAACAATTTATACAACATTATAACAACCTATGCCTGATCAGTACAATCAAAATCCCACTGATTAAAAAAATATTAATGAACTTTATAATTAACTGTTTTCTGATACTACAAAACAACAAAACATATGATAATAAATTACAACTTTGTTCTAGTTTTGCATCAGTTATTAATCCTTGGGAGTTACGATGTATAGAAATCTCAAGAAATTATAACTATGAATTCACTATGATAATACATTGTGCAAGAAAATACTCTTTGCAGTACGGACTGGAGAAATGTATACCATTAAATAAAAAAAACAAAACAATTAGTATTTTGTAACCAATGAATTATAATGAGGATTAGAATCTCAGCTACAGAGAGTTCAGTCATGTGACTAGTGTTCTTGACAGCTGCTGTTGCCACACCACAGGGATCGTGCCAGAGGGTGTGGTCAGTGCATATATGTAGGTAATATGCAGAAATAATTTGCTTCTATTCCACAAACATTGGCCAACATTGTATTGAGTTATGATCCTTTACAATGCAATACACTAAATAGAGTATTTCTGTTCACTGTGTCAAAAGCTTTAGAGTAATCTATGAAGAGCAGTGTGTTCTTTTATTAAATTCTCTATGTTTCTCAATGATCTGCTAGACAATGAAGATATTGTCGGAGCAAGACCTTCCCTTCCTGAATCCATCTTGCTCTTCCAATAACACTATCTCTGCAATTTTACATTCTAAGGATGCGATATTTTAGAATAGATCTTGTAACTATCTAGTAACATTTAGTAAGATCAAGATTCTTAAGATGTTGGTTGATTGATTCCATTGGTAAGATTAATTAACATCTAGTAACATTTAAAAGACTTATTCCTCTATAATTTTCACAAGACCACCGGTCTCCTTTCTAGGGCTTATTACTGCAATTTTCCACTCTTGCAGTATAAGCACATTCCACTTCTTTAAATTTTCGAAGGCACATTTGATCTTTTCGCCTTTAATACCATTGCTTTCACTTGCTTTTCTATTGTTTTCATTACCACGTTCTGTCCATAATCGTTTATAATAGAGGAATTGGTCAGGTTTCACAATTTGAATATTTGCTATATCTTTCACATCTCTATTTAGATGTTGCACTACTTTATAGCCCCTTGTCTGGTGCCTGTGTATATCATGCTCCAGGTCAGCTCCGTATCAGTTCCAGCGCTCTTGTCGTGCCTTCCTTGTAAGACTTCTTACACTATTTGATGCAGTAAAATACTCTTCTTTTGACACAGTGTCTCTATCACATATATTTTAAATATGCCTTTCTCTTTGTATTCACAGCCTCCTGTATCTTCTTATTCCATATTCATAACCTTTTACTTTCCATTCTTTGTGTAGAAGTACCAATTGCTTCTTGTGCTGAAGTCTCTATCACTGTTTTAATAAATTTTCATTCTTCTTCGACATTTTGGCTTTCAGGATAATTTCCATTTACTTCATCTAGTCGCTGTTGGTATAATTGTCTTATGGAGTTTCTAATTAACTTTATTAACAAACTACTATTATTATCATTATTTTTATTTGTACTTTTACAGGTTTTTCAAGCCCAATATCCCATCAGAATTGGTAGAACAGCTTTAATAACGGTTACATCAGAATTTAATATTCAATAAACATTTATGAAATGAGATATCTGTAGGCACATCTTTGTACTCGAGATCTTTAACAACAGCAACTTATCTGTCAAAATCCAGTTAAAAACTACCAGATGGCTTTCAAACAGTGACTTCATTGTACAATTAGGGGGTTGAGAAAAGAATGTAATATGCAGCATTAGAACTACAGAAAACTGTTGAGGGGTGGGAACTGTGGCACCAGTTGATGTTCAGCAAATAGTTTTATCTTTATCTAATTTGCCATGCACTTGTATCTGTGTGTGTGAATGTACTCTCAATCTCTCTCTGAAAATAAATGTTGTGTACGGTAGTTAGCAAGCATGTGGTTCTGTTATGGTTTGTTGGTGATGGGAGTTATAGTAAATCATGTATAGTAAGTAATAGTCATAAGTGGATTTTATATAATTAAATTTTTCTCTTAACTCTAGAAAACATAGTGTCAAAAATCTACATAAATTCATAAGCAGGACCTCGAAGGCCATACGTTTTGTTTTATATATTTCAATGATTTATAATATATAATATATATTTATATATTTCAATTTTTAATATATTATTTTGGTGATGGCAGGGGCGAATAAAAATCTTACATACTCTTAATATTGCAAAAAAGTTTATTTTTAATAATGCACAAAAACGACCAGAATGATATTTGAAAGTAAACGTGTAAATCAGGACATGATTATTCATATTTCACAGACAACTTTTACAAACAATGAAGCTGTGTTCTTTGCAAGTAGAATTTTTGCATTTTTCACATACCATTTTACTTTTTCTGTGCCTGTTACATGAGCAGAAGGAACACCTTTTTCTCAGAAGTAAACCTTGTGTTTGTAGATTTCTGGTTTGTGGTTTTATACCACATCTGGCCAGTGCGTCTCGTGTCTTCTGAGGAAGGTTGGAGATTTTTTACCTTTCTTCCATATAATCTTGAACAAGCTGAAATTACATATCTCTTTTAAAAAATCTGCATTTGAACTGTTTGAGTTGTACTCCAGATGCTGCATACAGAAAAGCACATTACTATTCAAGGCTGCAACATCAATGATATTTATCCATAAAGCAAATGGTTACCTACAGTGTATTTTCTTACCATCTGATCCATTTTGTCAACACCCCCTTTGGTCAAATTGTACAATGTGTGTGTGTGTGTGTGTTTTTTTTTTCCGTTATTTTCATCTACTGCTTGATCACGGTGCATGGTACTGAGCAGTATTACTACTTTAGTTATCTTTGTAGCGTAGCTGACCATAGTAGTACTATCCTTGAAATAAAAAATTTAAGAATTTACTTCATGAGAAGCAGTGACTTTCATATCATTGGGAATCTCCGGTTTGTTTGGTCTAAGTGTGCCAACAATTGTTATTTTCTTTTGGAGAAGATCTTGGGCCAAGGAAAAACTGGTAAAGAAATTGTCCATAGTTACATTTCTCAATGATCCTTCAATGGTTTTCACTAAATTCTTCACAACATTGGCACCCAAATTCTTTTGTACGGGCTCATTCGGTTTCCTTCCCATGTAGATGATGCCATCAATGGCATGTGAGGTATTTCTTCACATATCCAAAATATCTTTCCTCCATATTTTGCTGGTTTGTTGGGCATACACTGAATAAAGTTGCGTCTCTGCCTAAAAGGAATTAGTTGCTCATTAACTGTTAGGAAGGTCGCTGGAATAATAGTATTACTGCAATTTTCAAGAAATTTACCCCAAATGTAAGAAATTGTTGTGTGTTTATCATTTTCGGCACGAATCTGTCTTGTTCTGCGATCATCAAATCTTATAGCTTTTCTAATGCTTTCAAATCTTACAGCACTGTATACAATATTTCCTTTTTCATCTAAAAATAACTCTCTGATAGGTACATCCCAGTTTTTTTTCCTCACTAGCTAATAAAAGAATTCCTAAGGAATCATTCATTTCATTCACAGAATTGTTTTTCCAGATTTTACTTTTCTGTCCTGAAATTCTTTTGCGTTCCAAATTTGTACAAAGGACAATTTCTTCTATAATTTCATTAGAAATGAAGTAATTCCAAGCTTGTTTTGGATTCACAGTAGAAACACCTTTTTGGGGGCCAGAAAGATATCTTACAATGTTATGGGATGGAGTGCAGGAAGAAACTGGAGTTTCACGATTCCAAGCAGTTCCATTGCGACGAACTAAAAGGTGCTGGATTTGAATAGCTACAATTATTACTCACAGATGTGCTGTCATCACAATCAGAAGTTGCAGTGCTGTCATCTTCAATGACAGACGCGAAGGAAACATAGTTCTCATCTACTTCTGTAACTTCACTTTCCCCATCACTGAGTACATCTTCCTCCACACGCCACTGTCACAATCTCTTCAAACTTTTTAGAAGCCATGGTTCTAATCAAATTGACACTCACTACCGCACTTCTATTATTACTGCTCTCGTACACCTCTAAATTGTAAAAGTGTAGCGACAACAATCGGTGGCTATTAGCCTCAGTTCTAGGAAAATAAATTTGTGGAGACAAATATAAGGAGTACGCATCGCTCCTTGAATTTTTACACCTCAGTTGACAATGGATTATAGAGAACACCACCTAGGGCCTGCTTATGCGTTTATGTAGTAAAGATGAAAATTTCACTATTACTCGGAAATAAATAAACCAATTCTGACGATTATGCAATCTAATTGTAGAAGAAAGATAATGCCAGGAATACCTACGACGCAAAGAAGCTAGGATTAAAATGTTTTAAGTAATTTCCCAAATAATATTTCACAGGACCTTAGAGGCCCTGATTACGTGTTCTAGGGTTAATTATTGTCTTTAATTTTTTTCTAGAAATAATTTCATAAATTTATTAATTTATTTATTTTTGCTACAAACATGCAAGGAGGTTTTTATTAGTTTTTGCAAGATAAGTAGTCTTTGCCTTTAGTCTTTTCTTGCAAATACTGAATCTTTCATGTGTGTAGAAATACTTTAATTATTTAATGTGTGTGTTCCCACAAATAACAGTATTCAGAGGTATACTTTTCAGAAGATATAAGTTGTCACTTCACTAAATCTGATGTTAACTACCTTTGTAATTTTTTCAATAATGAAAAGAAATTTTAATTTTTTTAGGAAGAACTTTTTCGATTTTGTGAAGTTTATGTTTGATATGTATGAATGTGCGTTGAAAATATATTCTGACAACATACAACCTATAAATCAAAAATTAACTTCAGGTAATAGAAAAATATTTTTCCTTTGAATAAAAAATAATTAGAAATGAAGATTTATTAAAATAAAAGTTTTATCATTCGAGGAGTATATTACTTACTTATGAAATAAGTATTAAAAGACATCTTAATAGAACGTGAGATTAAAAGTTATCAAATTATGCTCTTAGGTCAGGTTTGATAACCCATCAAATGTTATATAAGATGTTACAATACAAATAATATTAATTTTTAAAATTTCCAATGTTTAATTTTCATTTCAATATAAAACATTTTAGTCCCACCCTGGCAAACTTGACTTTTATAACATATGTTCTCAAAGTACTTAGAAAAATAATTTCAAATTCATTAAATTTGACTTGAAATAATCAAAGTGGATAAAATTGATTAAACTTTGAAGGTGTTCGATACAACAGTTGTATCCTTCAAAGAAATCACAACATGAATATAGAGAATTATTTTTTCATTTATATATTTGCTTTTATGATGTCTTTCAACCCATGTTCAAATTGACTTGTCTTTAAATAATAAAGTTTTTAAAGGTATAAAACCTTTCAATTTTCATTTCTTAAGTCTAAAATCATCATTGTCAAAGTGGAAAAGCATTTATCTTTCATAAATTAGAAATTATTATTTAACATTCTATAATATCCTTTTAATAAAAAATACATCCAAATTCACTTCATAGCACTTTTTAACCCATGGTTTACCTAATATCAAAATTTTAAGAACTGACCGCTGGTTTTTATATTTAAGAAATTTACTTGGAAGTTATTAATCTTTTGATTAACAATGTGTATTTTGCCAATCAGTACTCAGAGAATGTTTACAAACTTTAATCTTTTTCCCCACAGAAACCTTTTAGCATAGTGTCAATATTTTTCAAGATTGTATAATCAGTAGGACCCAAAATTTAATAAAATATTAAATAGCAATTAATGGTGGTCTCGTGTTAATTATAACATAGCTAACAGTTGCTTTTCCTGTCATGAATTGATGAATGAATTACAGTATTTAAGTATTACTACCATAATTTCACAATTAACTAACCAAATCTGTCTGTCAATGATCAATAATTGAATGAGTGAAAACCAAAAGAGTAAAAGTGAAATTTTATAAATTCTGAGAAAAACATGTTTATAGTAGGTTATATTTCAGTGCCAATGTAAATTTGTGATTTAATAAACAATTGACACGCAATGTTTTTAATATTAAAACAAAGTAACACAATTTTACAGTGATATTGAATTAACTAAACAGTTTTCTCAGAATATACTAAAGTCACTCACACTGTTCTGATTTTCACCCATTCAATTCATCATTAGTCATAATGATCAATCAATAGAAATTACAAACATAAATTATTCTAATTGGGTTACATTATACAGCATACATTAATTTGAAAGTTCTGAACACGCAATATCAAAAAGTACCATCAGAATTCCGATAGTTTTCGCAATGCCTACGTGGGGGTTTGGCAGAAAATTCGTCATCACTCTTCTGTCAGATAGCTTAATTCACTCAGTCACACATATTATCATCAGCATTAAGAAATTATTTATATCAATTCATTCAATTTTTCATCATTCATGATAGCAGAACACAATTGATCTCTCGTGAAAACTATTTCTAACCTTCACTCATGAAAATACATTCAATTACAAAATCCAGCCAGCTGATACTGCTACTCAGCTGACCGGAGGAATAATGTATTTCAGAGAGCGAAGCGATTATTCAAAATCAAGATCTTTTTAATAGAATTGGTGTATAAAAATTATTATTTTTAAGGCACTTATATGTCATTCATTGTGTTATTATTATGGATGCTGTATACAGAAAACATACAAAGATCTATGACGCACAGAATTCTCTCATATTGGTCGTCTTCGAGAAGTTTTTTAAAGGTGTATTAATTGGATACAGTGGGTTCAAAGGTGTTTGTTTTAAGTAAGTTTGTATACTGATAAATATGTTTCTAAACATTTTTTCTCTATTATATTGTATTATATTATAGTGCTGTAATACATAAAAATGACTTTCCAATATCATATATTATGATCAGTTGGATGAAATAAATAATCTAATCTTAAAAAAGGTCAATGAAAGAAAAAAGTTGAGAATCCCTGTCTACACATTTGTTTAAAATTATCCATCTTTATTTTTAAAATCCTTTATATGTCTTATTTTGAAGTGTTTTTCTCAAACAAAGCTGCAAACTTAAGTACTTTTTACTTTCATTTCATTTCTAAACCTCCAGAATTACCAAGAATGATGATAAAAATGGGTTACAAATTGTTTCGAAATACATTTTTTGTGTGGCCAAGTTTGGTCAAGTTTTCCGCAAACAGTCAGTGAACAGCTGTTTAACTCTAATATTACTTTACTGAAGACAGTAATCATTGGCTTTGTAATTTTGTGTAATTACAGAATTCAGATACATTTTACACAATTTCATTGCTTTATTATAAATTTCCAATTTTACACAACACTTCAAACTAAAAAGTAGGGAAATTTGACTTATTCACTGTGCATACGGATAATTATGTAACCACTTTTAAAAAAAGCATCTGAAAAATACTAATTGAGAAAATATTATCCCAACGAAAAATTACATTTTACACTACATTAAGACCTTTGTGAAAACACAAAAAAGCATTGCTTTACAAGAAAAATGCTTTTCACACAACACCAACAATTCACATTAACTGAATGCTTGGCAAAGTAAAACTATTCCAGAACTCACCTGATGATTTGCCAAAACATTGAATGCATGAGCAATAACTATATTTTCAGAAACATCTGCTAACGTGATTGCTTGAATAGATATCCAAGAGGTAAAACATCGCAAGATTTTTATATGAATCTGGGTATTATCTCCACTATTTGATAAACAACTTTTCTGTAAAAAAGGAAACACAATATTTAAAGCACATAAGAATTCATTTTTAAGATACTACAGTAATGAGATACTTACCAGAAACTGTATCACTGTCCCAGATGCCATTCCCAATGAGAGAATAATTTCATTTCGTCTATTTGCACCTAATCGTAAAGATCTAGAATTTACTTCTTCTGGTAGTACTGTCAGTATTTCCAAAAGTGGACCTAAATGTTTTCCTCCAAATTGATTGATAAGATCTAATACTGGTGATTGCCATGATGACATTTGCAACGCTAAATCTGCTAGAGCCAAACACAACTGAAATCATAAAATGCGATGATAAAAATGTTAAAGACCACAAAAACATTTAAAATGATCTTTTGTATTAAAGTAACAAGACCATGTCATCTAAATCAACAATGTTTTTTATTTTACTCTTTCCAAACTTTTAAAAAAATATTTCTTTAATAAAAACAAACAATCAGTAGGCTCTTTAAATAACTTAGAATTCATAGTTAATGTTTAAAACATCAGTGCTGACGTGTAAAAACATTTGCAACATAGTTCTTTTATTCACAATTCTGTGACATCACATTCTTTTTAATTTAAAGAAAGGTTACAACACCTATTTGCAGAATAAAAAATATGACAAAAAAAACAAACAGAAAGGCAACTTTAATTAACTTATATAAATTACTCAAGAACTAGGTACAACGTTATTTTGTTTCCCATGTAACAAACCACACATTGCCACAAGAAATAAATGTGTATCCTACAATGTAGAAAACTCATCAACATTTCATTAAATAATTATTTTTCTCTTTACTTCTGTACCTGTGTCACAATTACAGTGTTCGTAGCATCATTTACTTGTCCTATATGTTCTACAAGAGAGTCTCGTAAAGATATGTGAGCTTCCTGGGGTAATTCAAGGAATGAGTACTGTATTTTACTACGCATTGTCTGTGCAGCAAAGTAACATGATTCCAAATCTCTCTTCTCACGAAGCATTTCATCAGCAACTTTCCAAGAGTACACCTGTAAATATAATATTAATTTAAAAAGTTTGATGTAGTGTCTTGAAGAGTATCAAAAGACCGTATCTTGAATTTTTCTACCAACAAACGGGTTCAATTCTGTCCAACACTCAATTCAATATTTTAAAAAATTAACCAAAAACTCACAGATCGTTGTAGTGCTTGTAACCAGTAAGAAGCTTTTTCTTTTTCGGATGTGTCCGGGTTATGGTAGAGGGTAAACACCGCTTGATACACTGTATCTAAACACGGAGGTGTATCCATTTTAAATACTTGAGAAGACATTAACCATTCAGAATTTCCTTTACTAAAAATCCACTTTACTGATCAGTACGTCGCATCACATCTCACGACATATAATGCTACAATTAACACATTCTTTACTCTTGGTCGCTCTTCACACGGTATACAGTTTACAATTTGCGGGTGTTCGTGTTCAATTGTCGACGAATGCTCGAGATTTTCAATATGGCCGTCAAGGGAACCTGTTGGTTTTGTTGGGTTTGTAGGTTATAACACCGTGTAAGAACGCGGTCTTGAGTGTTTCGCCTGCCGATGGATGTCAATGGCCTGCCAATTATAGGACCGGGTGTGGATTATACCCAGGTACTTGCAATTAAAATGCTATAATGTGCTTGATTGTAAATAATGTATAGGTTAATGTCACGTGTAATTGTCAAGCAACAATTTCCTATTCATCTGACAGGACTGTCCTTTATGCACGTTTAATCACAATGTTTTTGGAAAAAGATTCAGCCATGATAACTGTACTATTGTAATAATTAATAACAAATAAAATTCATTGGTAATTACTAATATTTACTTGACGCCAGAGAAATGAATACTACAGTCGTAAATCATCTTCCTTATATTTTTGTATTTTATTGTGATAATAGTATATTATAGTCAGACTGGCCATAAAATGCTTGAAAACTCTTTGTTTTATAATCGGTATTAAATCGTAAAAATGTATGCACTAGAAATGTGTAAAAACAATACAGCCACTTCCGAAAGTTATCCGTAGGTTCAATATATGAATGACAATTCCGAAACGAAGCCAGTGTGTACGAGTCATTGGGATGACTTTAAACAATTAAAATCGATTCACAAGTTTAAGTGTCAACTAAAATACCGCTGCATACCTGTTTTTATGCAATTTAAGACTACTGAAAAATATTTTTTTAAAGAATGATATGTAATACATTAGTTAACATTTGTTCTGTACAATTTTAAAAAGACTAAATATGCCTGCAAGAAGTAATGTACTCCATTTTAGGGGTCCATGACTTGATCAGGTTTTTTATCTAGTTTCGCTCATCCATTGAACGAATGCTGAAGGGGCTCCTTGTTTTGCTTCTGAACATAAATGTTGCTTCACTACATGTACGTTTTATTGAGCACTCTTTTTGAAAGTTGTGGTAGGAGTGGAGCCATTGGTTTGGTTTGTTATTTTATTAGCAGTACTTAAAATAAAATCTACAATTGATTTACCAATACAAATAATATTTCTATAACTGGATTGAAAATGTCTAGTTGTCATGTGTTTCTAATCCCACTTTGTTGGTACTGTTATTCAACATATAACTGTGTGTAGGAAAAAGGTGAAAAAGAAATTCTGAAGCTCAAGAAAAGTGCACATATACTTCTCCCTTGTATGTCGCATACAGTTTTGACTGTTGTCGTCATTTGAAAAAGATTGCTATAATATTTGCTATTTAAGTGCAAACCTGATTACTATGTATTTTTATTTATTGATTTGTCGTGTAATACATTTATTATAACTTTCATAGCCTGATATACTTTTCTTCTAATTGTATCCTGTTTCCAAGTGTTTATTTCTTCCCACATTCAGGACAGGTATAATAATTATAGTGTATTTAGAATGCTCTTAAGATCAGTTCTCTATTCAGTGTTTATATTGTGTACATTTAACAAAAACATGGCGTTGTGGTGGGTCTTATTTCCATCGTATTTTCCATAACAATGTCCTGGGCTCAGATCTCAGTAGGATAAAATATTTTCGCTTAATGACAATCCATTTTTAGTATTAGAATGTGGGGCATAAGCACTGCTACATCACCTTGGTAACAATTGTTTCTTTAAAGAAACTAAGTTTGATCCAATTGTTACCGAACATTATTAAGTAATATTTTGTTCATCTTCACCATTCCTTCCAATTGTATGCTTGTATTAATTTCATTTTGCTTGATAGCCTGTGTAATTTCTAAAATGACCATCATAAGACTACAAAGAATAGATATTGAGAAATTTTCTTTGACAAATCAATCTATAACAAAACAGAAATGTTTGCCTGAAAGAATCTTTGAACCTTTTCCTCGAAGGACTCATCAATTTTAAGGTAGGGCCTAATCCATAGTTATTCTAGTCTTAGTTTTGGTTATGAATATTGATGTACATAATGATGTTCTTACAAGCATGTTGTGGTGTAGGGTAGTTAATAAAGAAGGTGATTTTAAAATTCGTTACGTGTAGTGTTATGTAGTAATGTAGTTAAAGGGGGCAGGTTGAGCAATCCACCCCGGTGACACCAATTACAAAATTTTATAGTTGGAATTATTTAAGAATTATATTTTAATTATTCTGAATTACCAACCATTTTGAATTTATTGTAAATAAATGTTATGTGCAAATATACTTCTATTTTTATTTATTAATGTATAATCCATTGAGTAATAGATATTTTTATATTTCATTTATGGAGGGGGTAATATCGTTAGTTTTGTCCTGGGTGACACCAACTGCAGCTACGCCACCGGTTTGATGTGGTGACTAAATTCTGCAAGGTGTCACTTCAGGTCTTGTTTTCATTGGTCACTAGTTTTATCATTATATTTTATCAATTTACTCCTATTATATTTTGTTTAGCCATGAGGATGGAAATACATTTTCTGAGATGTTGGCAAATTACAATGTGTTGATTTTGTTTTGCTCCTACTGACTAAGCCCCGTTAACCTGACTCAAATTTTATTATTTTTATTATTATTGGTAATTGTTTTCTATAGGCCACTCGTGGATTATAGACCTATTGATCAGAAATATTGGGCACTTCAGAATTCCTCAGATATCAACCAATCAGAATTGCCATGTACCAAAAAAGATGATCAGTTTGAAATTATCACTTTTGTCATTCACCTCATCCTTTCTTGATAGTTATGGGAATATAGTTGCAGTGAATTAATTCCTTTCTTTAGTCTTGTGATATATTATTTTGCAAACTTCAAATTCACAATGTTTTGAGTACGGCTAAATGAGAAAGAGATTTATTCTTCATAAACTATAACTGTATACAAATGTTACAAGGTGAGCTACAAGAGCTAGGTATGATAAAAACTACTAGACAAACCAATGCTTCTTGTCAGAAGGTTAAAAAGGAACAGCATTCGGAAATATTGAATACTTGGATGTTGTCATGCATTACTGTTAACTTTTAACAGTTCCAATAGAAAGTTCCATTGAATTGCAGTTTTCAGAATTGTGTGTTTAATAACTGCTTGTTTGAGTTAATGAAGGGGGTAAAATAATTAGTTGATTTCATTCATGAAATAGTGTAAGTAAAGGGTGGCCATTTTCTGGAAAACCAGGAGAAATTTGGGAATTTCATTGCACTAGTAAAGTCAGAGGAAAATCAGGAAGTTAGTAGAAAAATGGTTAAAAGTCAGGGAAACTTTTGAGAGGGTTATAAAACTCAATATTATTACTTAAATACATTAGTTGTTACAAAATGTTAATTTTTGCATGATAATTTGTATTGGTTGAGGAAATATTGTTAATTTTTACTTTATCACAAAAATATGATTTAGTATTTTTTTAAAGTAGTGTGAAATTACAAATCTTATTAGAAAAAAATATAAAAAATGCACTATAAAACTGGGAAAATTCAGGGAAATTTATTCAAGGAAATGAGTGGCCAGCCTGTAAATACCTCTGTCCTTTGGAAATTTTCTGATAAACTCACTCATTGTTTCACGTCTTGGGAATTTATCAATAATTTCTAAAGAATCCATGGTATGAGGGCATGCCACTGGAAGGGTCAAAAATCAATTTTTGCCATTTTCAATAATGAGGGGTGCATTAAAATGCATAAAAATATGAATTTTCTAATTATTTGATAGTTATTTATAATCTAGATTTAGATTTATTTAGTCAAAAAAAAACAATAAAAACTGTATGTGACGTATGGGAGAGAAGATCATCTGTGCACTTTTTCTTGGGTTCCAGAATCCCTTCCTGTCATTTTAACTATAAATAGTTGATAGATGAGTAAAAGTTTAAAATAACTAAATAAAAGTAAATTTTTAAAAAAAAGATCGAGATAAGCAATTTTTGAAGAAAAAAAAAACTATAAATTTTTGTTTCCGAGTTATAAAAAATTAATTTGCATCGGTAACCGAATTGCAGGTATGATTTTTTTGCTAACAAAAAAAGTAACTCGCCCTTATCTCTACTCCTACCATTACAAGCAAAAGGAGAGTTCAACAAAACGTGCGCATAGTGAAGCTACATTTACGTCCAGAAGCAAAGCAAGGGGCCATCTTAGCATTTGCTCAATGGATCAGGGAAACTGGACAAAAACCTTGAGATGGGAGTCATTGGTCCGAAAGCTGAAGTACATTATTTGGTACAAACATCTTAAGTCTTTTTAAAAAATGTATACAATACAAATGTAAGCTAATTCGTTATATATCATTGTTTTGTTAAAATAAACATTATTTTTCTTTTTGATAATCAGTATAGTCTCTAATTGTATAGAAATAGTTTTACAACAGAAAATATTTTACTTTTCACTTAAATATGTGAACTGACTTCAATTGTTTAATGTCATATTAACATTGTTTAATGTTAATTTTTGCGTGAGGAAGTCAAATCTGTCTTTCTTTTCCTGATAGGATAACATTTAGCTTAATAAATCTTCATTACTTCCATAATATTAACAAAATTATTTTAAAAATCATCATGAGCAACTGTTATCTTCAATATACATTAGATTTAGATAGAACCACTCATTCTCTTGAAATAATATATTATACTTAATATAAAATTACATTTTTATGAATATTAAAACTTTCACCATAGTTAATTTCTAAAAGAAGAATTTGTTTCATATCTTGCCTAGATTCATTACTTGATATTAATATTTTGCGTATTTGCTGACTTTGCGACTCTGACACATCCTTCTCTCTTTTTCATGGGTGTGTACCTAATTTGCCTAATGCCTGTGTTACTTGTTTGTCTTATCTTTCTAAGATCTATTCACAATAGGGAAAATATGGTATTTGCATTGGCTCATCATTGAAGTTTATATCATACGTTAAGAATGCACGTCAGAGAAAGCTCATGGTTGATATGTGTCAGTCGATAATAGCTAAGTGAAACATTTGGATCAAGAGTTTTTCTTGGCAGTGCAGATAGATCTAGAGGAGAGATATTTCCACCCCTTAGGTCATTAATGTTTTAGATGACATCCAAACCCAAGAGGGTCTGAATTTTCATTTCACTAAAATTATACAATGTTGGGTGCTTTATTGTTGAAAAAATCAACATTCCCTACAGCTCTGTGTTGAAACCAAAGTATGTACAATTGATA